AGGCACGTATTCATAGAAACATGTTGTTAAGTGACTTTGTCACTGTGTGAACTTGACATTGTACTTACAGAAACCACGATGGCTCTAATATCACTGGGTGATAGAATCTTGCAGGGCAGCCTTTGTCTATGCGGTCCGTAACTGACTACAATATAGGTGTGTGGAACAAGACTGGACTGAAAATTAGACCACTGCCATATAATCCAAAGGACTGTGACCTCGAGGAGCTTGAGGCACTAGGAGGTTTGGCCCAGGAGCCCGTGTTTGGCCACCAGGTCACACAGCCTCTCAAGGTTCCAGAGCCTAAGGACTTTGGGATTTGCACTGCTTTGAAGGATGCCCAGTTAAGGAGATTTTTTTTTTTAAACTTACAAGGCAGAACACTATTTGCAAAGAGATGAGTCTGGTGTAGTTTGTGGGGATGTCTGGGAAAGACAGGACAAGGGAGGCAATGAGACGTAAGGAGCAGGGTTTCTCACAAAATAAGAATTTGGGGGACAGGCAAGATATCTCAGCAGTTAAGAGCATGTACATTACAGAGAGACCCATGTTCCCAGCACCCATGTTGTATGGCTCACAACCATCTCTAACTCTCCTTCCAGGAGGATCTCTGGCCTCTGTGGGCACCTGCACTCATGTGCACATATTGCCACACACAGAGAGACACACCCTCATGCACATAACCAAAAATTAAACGTAGGCTGGGCATGGTGGTGACACATGCCTTTAATCCCCAGCACTCTTGAGGCAGATGGATCTCTGTAAGCTCAAGGCCAGTCTGGTCTGTAAAGAGAGTTCTGGGCCAGTCAGTACCACAGAGTGAGACTCTGTCTCAATAAACAAACAAACAAATAAATAAATAAATAAATAAACAACAACAAAACCCCTTTTTTCCTTTTACAATGAGAAAGTTTTTAAAAAGTCATCCTAGAAACAGCCCTGACCTTCCTTTTTCACAGGTTAATTCTGTAGTTTTGGGGAGTATGTTCATATACATTCCTGTTGATCCCACAGCCTCTAAGAGAGAACTATGTCTCCACCATCAGATGTGCTTTCTGGGACCAAATCCAGCAAAGATGGGGTCTTTCTGGGCTGGAGAGAGGGCTCCTTTGGTCCAGTACTTTCCTTGTAAGCATGAGGACCGGAGTTCTAGCTCCAGAACCCACACAGGATAATCTGAGTGTGGTATGCTGTAATCTCAGCCCCAGGGAGCCTTGGATCTTGCTGGCTAATCACCCTGACCTATTTGACAAGCTGGAGACCAGTAAGAGACCTTGTTTCAAAATCAAAAGGTGGATGGATCCTCAGTAACAACACTCAAGATTGTCTTCCGGCTTTCACTTACATGCACACACACACACAAACACAAGAACGGAGTTTTCCCTAGGGATAACTAGCACATGGCTGTGGACAAGTGACTTGACCTCTCTCTGCCTCATTTAGTCTTCTGGACAATGAGATGTTTACAGCATCCACTGACCGGGAAGACCTGGCCCAGGAGACAAACTGGTGGGAACCGGAACCCTGGCTCCCAGGCTCCCGAGTTCCTGGTTGGAAGGTAGGGGGTGTCTAGCTTTCAATAAGGCTGGAAAAAGGTCTGGGCGTAACAGGAGTAGGCCTCTTGCCCATAGGGCCTCAGGTGGGGGCTGGGTAGGCCCACAGACATCCTCTGCAGAACTTTGATCCAGAGCAAGGACAGGGCTGGCTTCAGTTGTCTTTGAAGCAGCGGGAAGATCAATCCTCCTTCTTATCTCAGCCTCTGCATAGTGCAGTGTGTCATGTGCTGCTGCAGGCCAAGAAACTCGGAGCAGAGCGGGCAGTACCCAACCAGCCCTGCCCTGCCTCCCTGCCACCCCTGGGGCCAGGGGCATGTGTGGTATTTGCCACTTTCTGACCTCTGCTTGGATCAGTGCCAGACACAAGGAGGAGAAGGTAATGAATGCTAAGTGCCAAGAAACTAGGTCCTCTGAGAGTCTCCTGTCAGCCCCCTCCCGCCCCCGCCTCGCCCAGGCACTCCCTCTCTTCTCTTCAAAGTCTGCTTTCAAACCTCACCTTTTGCTGAGATCTAAAGATGCTAGGCCAGGAGGCAGGAGACTGGATTCTAGTTACAGGTCTGCCTTTGATAGGCTGTGCGACCTTGAGCAAGTTACTGCCCTTCTCTGGGGTGTCTTTTCTCCATTAAGTACAGCTGCTGGGAACGCTTTAGGGCCCAGTTTAAAACTCCAAGGTCCAGACCAGCCTGCGGACAGGGCTGGGGCTCAGGGTAGGTTTGGGCTGTAGAACTGTCTCTCTCTGATGCTGCTGTAGAGTAATTGCCCCTGTCATCTTGACCTCCCTGGCTCCTTTGTGTCTCCACGGAACAGTTTCCTGCATAATCTCCCTAGCGCAGAGGGCTGTTCCACAGGCTAGGCTGCACCCCGAGTCTGTAGGCTCTGTCCTTTGGGGAGTGGCAGGAACATTTCTCATCAGCACTGCCTCTAGCTGGTTCAGGGACCGTGGACCGGAGGTTTACAGGATCACTGTGTCCTGAAAGGCTAGGGAGAGAACGTGCAGGAGGGAACAGGCAGGTGGGGAGGCGCTGGGTGTCAGGAGGGGAAGGACAGATGTCTCTCCACGGACACGGGTGAGTGTGGCGGGGTTTTTCACTCTCCAAGCTGCAGAGGGAAAGCATTTCAAACTCAGATCAAGTCGGGTCCCCTACTTACCTCCTGCCTCTCAGAGACAGACCCCAGGAGTGGCTGAGAATCCCGGCAACACAGTTGCTGTGTATGGGCAATGGGGTGATCTCAGTATCCACTGAGCAGGCCTTGGCTCGAGACGAGCTACATGAAGACAAGACTGATGGGAATTAGAACCCCAGGTCCCGGGAGCTGCTGATTCCCTAGTGGGAAGGTGGGGACTTTATAGCTCGTGGTGAAGCTTGATAGGTCTCCTTAGGTCAGAGAAGTACTCTCCCAAAGCTGCCCAGGGTGTGAAGAGTAGAATATTTCCAGAAGAAAGCAAAGAATGGAGAACGAAGCAGGAAAGAAATATCTCCCATGTCTAAGCTTCTGCAATGTGCCAAAGTGAGCCAGGACAGCTCTGGAAATTCCTCTTTGCCTTCAGGTCCCCGAGGTGTCATTGTTGACCTTCAGCATCCTCCTTCACCTATCCCAACCACAGCACAGTAGTCCTGGGATCCCTTTTCTGTGTCCCTCAGGAGCCCTTCTCCTGCCCACTCCCTCCTTGGCCACTTACGGAAGACGACCTCTCTTGGAAATTGCCACCATGACCATCAAGGCCCAGAGAAGCTGTCCTTGTAAAGGGCACATTGTGGGGGTACCTGTGAGTTATTGTGTGTTGAGCATGTGCACACGCAAATGTGGTATGTGTGCATCCCGTGGGCATGTATGTTGGACATGCTGTGGAATGCAAGCTCCACACGGAGTGAAGTGTCTGTCTGGGGGAATGTGGAAGTGCAGGCATGTTGCAATGTGTACAGGTTGTCTTGTGGCCCTGAAGATGCTGAGGAGTGAAGTGGAAGCACAGTGTCCTGACTTTTAGGGGTGCTCCTACATTTGAGGAATGCCACAAAGTGAAAGAATGCCCGAGGCCAGTGTGTTTGGATTTCTGTGAGCTCCTGGATACATCGACTACCCTTTGCTTGCAGGGCATCCTGCTGGCTCCAGCCTTTGGCCTCCTATGTACTGGAATGGGAGCTGAGCCCTTGATCATAGAGCCTATCTGAGGCCAAGGGTCAGCAGCAGCCTCAGCAACCTCCTCGCTGGTCCAGTGTCCCTAGCTGTCCCCAGTCCAGGTAGCCACTGACAGGCTGGAAATCTCACAAGTTTCCTGACGGGGTTCAAGATTTGCTTCAGTGTGTTTTAGAACACACACTACCCCCAAAGAGCCACTGCTTACTGTGTGCTTGGGGTATGGTAGGGCACAGTGCTGTGGGCACAGTGCTGTGGGCTGAAGGCTTTATGGATATGACTTACACCACACAGCAAATCGCCCTGGACCATATGACAAGTAAATTCTAAGACTAGGGTGTGAGTCCCATTGTAAGACCCTGAACCTGGGGCATGTCTCTCCATGTTCTGATCTACAGATTGTCTTAGGCAAGGGAAGGGAGCCCATTTCCTCTAAGGCCCACTTACTAAACAAAAAAAAAAGCTTGTTGGGTAACAGCTACCATCTTGAAAGAGTTCACCTTTATACCCTCGATTTAAGATCCAGCACTCCCTGGAAGAGAAAATAGAGGAGGAAAACGGAAGGATCCTTCCCTGGAGGAGGCCTCTGCAGTAGATGAGCAGACAGACTGAGCTTGCATGGCACGAGAGAGTCATGCCTGGCTTGCATGTGCGTCTCCCTTGGCCCATTCCTATGGCTTCCATGAAACCCCAACTTGCATGCCTAGGACACCAGGGAAATGACCAGCGAGGAGTTCACTGTTGCTTCTAGATACACATCATTGATCTTGCCTGCACTGAGAGGCTCAGCTCATTCCCTTCTCTACCAGATTTAAGTTGCAGGGAAAATGCATTATTTTTTCATTAAAAATTTATTTTGGAATGGATAGCCTTCAGAGAATGTAATTAGCCACGTTATTTCCCTCCATTAGCTGTCCCTAGTGTTCTCAGGAATGTCTTGTCCTTTTTCCTCTCCATTTCACTCTTTCCATTCTTGTTACAATTTGGGTTGCAGCATCCACCCCCCCCCCCACCCCCACCCCATCATTACCACGTGCAACTTCCAGAGGAATGTGCTAACTTCCTCCCCATGGGGCTGTGCGAGCAAAGTCCTCTGGGACAGTAGGGGATTCAAAGAATTTGTCACCCCAACTTGCTTTTATCTGGAATGGTTCCTGTGGGTCATTTTTAGTGTTGTAGGCAGTAGGCTGGCAGAACTGGGAGGTGACCCAAAATACAACAAAACACGCCTAGGCACCCCAAGTCGTACAGTAGATTCACAGTGCGGATGGGTTGTTCTGGTTCTGAGGAGACTCCGACAATCTCAGTGCTCAGAAGAGCTGCCACCCGCTCCACCCTCGCCCCTGTTCCTATCACACAGGTGACACATGACATGCAGCCGTCTCCAGCACTGTCAGAAATACCCCGCTCTGTGGGAGTGAGGGCAGAAAGCCTGACACCCCAAATCTAAACTTATCCTGGCTCTCCACAAAGAGGGGCGAAGAGAAAAGAACAGTAAAACATCTTCAGTGTGCATGACTTATACGGAGACCTCGATTGTCCCAGACCCTGAGGGTCCTGGGACGTACACTTTGAAGGGGCAGGTACTACTCACAGAGAACCAGCTGAGCGGCATTTCGGAATTATGTCATGTGGCATTGGCTTGAAGGGAATGCAAGCCAACTCGGTTCCTTACGTTGTTGACCTTACTGCTTTTTCAGTCTTAGGTTCCTGGATATGTGTAGAAGAACAGAAACTGACAGGTTTGTGGGATTTCTGAACGTGGGCACAGATGTCACTACAAGCCTCATGGAATCAGGTGGCATCTTGACTGAGTCTTGAGCACGGTGATTTTCATGAACAAGCCCTGGGCATAGGGAACAGCCGCGGTGTAGCCGGAGGTGCAGTGAGAACCGGTGGCTGGTGCCACAGTGCTTGCCAGCCACACTGGGCTCTTGACAGACACTGCTTCGTTTATCCTTCAGGCCCAGCAGGCATTACCATCCCCCACCTCCCCCCAGGCGCCCGCCGGGAGGATACCGAGATTCATACAGGGTAAGAGGAGAGAGTGTCAAACAAATGACTTCTGTCCCGCCTCCCGGGAGGAGTCTCATTGTGTGGAAGATGACAAACGGCACAACAATGCCTGCTGCCAGGAGCAGCAGGCTCGGGGTGTCAACCCACTCCACGGCTGGCAGGTGTCGCCAAGGAACACACAAGTCACCCAGCACCAGATGGGATCCCGCTTCAGTCACACGGAGAAGAGACGGAACAAGAGCTATTTCAATAGCGGGTGTCTGTCCCCCTGAGACCAGGGGTCTCAGTCTGCCACCAACCCAGGATGATGACCTTCACATAGCAGCCTTCCTGCTGCAGGTGAAGGCCTCCTTCCCGCTCCACCTGGAAGAGATCTAGCAGGGCGGGCTGGCTAGGAGCCACATGACGCACAAGCTTAAGCAGAACAAAGGAGCACACTTCGAGCCTGGAACAGGGGAAAGACGGTTGCAGGAAACGGATGAGCTCCACTCAACCTTAATGTACCTTATCTCTTGGAAAGAAAGGGTTTTAGGCCCAGGCCACTTTCCCGAAGCTAAGCAGGAGTCAAAGGCTACTTGTACCCGGTCAGTATTCCCCACTGCTGGGACCAAGGTCAAGTTGTTGGTGAGGCTGCCTCTGGATTTGGACAAAGGTCTCCCTGGCACTACAACCCAAGAGCTTTCTTAGCTGCGTTCAGTCACTCCTCCCCAAACCCAGGTAACAAGATCTGTGTATGCTGACACATACCTACACTCCCTGTGTTGGGGAGGCAGAGACAGGAAGATTCCTGGGCTTGCTGGCCAGTAAGCCCAGCCTGCTTAGAGAATTCCAGGTCAATGACAAACTATTTCAAAGCAAAACAAAAAACAACAGCAACAAATAAGAGGTGAAAAGTCTGAAATGTCTGAAGGTGAGAGTCCCCTGACCCCTGGAAGGCGCCCCCCCCCCCCACCAACACAGCCCATCAGCTAACAGATTCCTAAGGGAAAAGATGGCTTAGGTGAACGTCTGTAATGCTGACCTCAAGAATGGCATTTCAGAAAATGTGGCTCTCGTGCCCTGAAGCATCTCCATGCACAGAGGTTTAAAGCAGAAAGCTGGATTCCAGAGAGAGAGGGGAGAGAGAGGAGAAAGGAGAAAGAGAGTGAGGAGAGAGAGAGATGCACAAAAGAAAAATAATAACCTGGCATCCAAAATTTTTTTCAATTATATACAAAAACAGACGCAAGGCCTGTTTAGCCCCGGAAGATGTGACGTGCTGGTAAGACTGTAAAGGATACTGGAGAGATGGCTCAGCAGTCGAGTGGGATTCGGATTCCAGCACCCACGTAACAAGCTGGGCTTCTGGGGCACACCTATAACCCCAGCTCTGAAGTGGAGGGGAAAGACAGGAGAAGAGCTGGGGCTTGCTGGCTTTTAGGCTAAGGGAGAAAGTGGGAGCCCCAGGTTTAAGGAAAGAGCCTCCCTTAAGGGAATAGATGGGTGGTGATAGAGGACCTTCCATGCCTTATTCTGTCTCTGTGCATACATACACTATTGCACGTGCACGCATGCGTACACACACACACATACACATACACACATGTGTGTGTGTGCGTGCGTGCATGAGCATACACTCACATACATGAATAAATACATTGTTTTGAAAGTATCTGAAAAGAAGGTGTGGGTCAGATTCAGGCCCTTTGTGCCCTGTGCAGATCCTTGGACTCTGAATGCTAAGCCCCTGCATTGTTTCTCCGAGGTTTCAGTAACATGAGTAGACTGGGCTGGCTAATTTGAAGAGTTACGACCCAGCATTTGCACCCAGGGAGTCGAAGGTTAAAGGAAGTTCAGCAGATGATCTATGTCCACCACACTCATTTTAGAAACCAAGTTGCATTTAGCATTCAGATCATTGGAACTCTTCTCTGCCCAGTCCCCCTCTTCTCAGGGAAGCTTGCAGTTAATTCTACGCAATGTGCATTGCTAATGTGGAGGAACAGAGGCATCCGTCATCCTTGTGCTCCCTCGGAACGCCCACGCTGTGTCTCCTGCTCCCTTGCATTTGACTTGGAAACCTCACAGACCTCCAAAGGAAGCTGCTCTGATGTGCAAGGAGTTGATTCCTATTCCACTCAGTCCCTGCTAGTGTTGCCCACCTCTCCAGCTCTGTGAAGACTTGGGGCAGCAGGCTAAGGTGAAGAGGCCCTCGGTATCTTCCTATATATGGTTAGGAAGCAGAGGGAGGAGAGATGGGTGCTGGGCTTGCAGAGTCTTCCTGTGGTGCCTCCAGCCAGTAGAACAGTAGCAGGCAAGAAGACAATGAATGTGTCCACCCAAGACTTCCATCTGGACAATTCAGTTAATAAGGCCACAAAGGCAGGGGTTGATTGTGTTTTGTTTTCATGGCTGGGGAATCCAGGAGATCGGTAGAATCCACATTTGAGGTCAGACTCCGAGTTCCACCCTGGATCTCCTGACTGCAAATTGTGTAATCTGTGTTTGTGTAATGACTGAAAGTGCTTTCCGGTCAGAATGGACCTAAACAGAAAGGCAAGCAATGTCAGAGGTAGAGAGCATGACTGTGGAGCCAAGAGGCACCACCGATTTAGATCCGATTGAAGCAGCATTTACCAGGCACCAGAGGGCATCACCAGAGTGAACACAAAATAATGACGTGACCCTGGTCTAACGGAAATTGGGGTGAGAGGGGAGAGGGATGCGTACAAGGCAGAGAAATCGGTGGGAAATCCAAGAGAGTGTCGGCCATTCTGCTTATTTGTTTCCTTTGAGACAGGGTTTCTCTGTGTAGCCCTGGCTGTCCTAGAACTCACTCTGTGGACCAGGCTGGCCTGGAACCCGCCTCTGCCTCTCGGGCGCTGGGGTTAAAGGTGCTCGCCACCACACCTGGCAGTATCAGTTATTCTTATTCTATTAAATCATTTATTCAGTTGGTAGTCACACCAACTGTCTTAGTTCCGTCAAGACCATGCTCTGGGTATACAGGTAAATAAAACAGAGGGTTGGAGCTGTGATTCGGTGGATGAAGTGCTGGCTGCACAGCATGGTGCCCTGTGTTTGGGTCTCCAGCACAGCTGCGTGCATCTGTAACTCTAGGGCTGGGGACAGACATAGGGGGATCCCTGGAGCGCACTGACCAGCCAGTCTAGCCAGACTGAGTGAGAAACCTGCTTCAAAAAATAAGGTGCAGAGACTGAAGAGAACACCCCAGGCCAACCTCTGGTGTCTAGAAGTGCAACACATACACACACACACACACACACACACACACACACACACACACACACACACCACACACCAGGAACCACTATTCAAACGCTAAACCGTAGCCCCCTAAATAAACTTAAAAAAATCCACTCCTGGCCTCTAGAACAGACACACTGATTTGGTGTTTTGTAAAGTCCTCCCTAAACCTGAGGCTGACTGTAGTTACCACTTAGCTCTGGTACTGGTCTGGTAAAACAACAGATGAAGAGCCAGCGACATGGAGAAGGGACTTGTGGCCCACCTCTTTCAGGAAGGCTACCCTGGCTGGTCCAACCCACCGGATCCTGGTACTCTCTTAGCCCAACCCCCAGAGCAGAGCCTGTGTGCACTGTGATTGGGGGGGGGGACCCAGTAGGTTTGCTCCTTTGACTTCTGTGAGTCTTCCAAGGTCATTGTGATGAGGGTTCCGGGGCCTTGTGACACACCTGGCTGGATCTGTTCAAGTGGGGAAGCCAAGAGAGGCTCTGTTCCTTTAGGGAATGCAAGGAAGAGCCCCTTCCCTGGCTCCCTCAGCATCACTAGGGCTCCGCAGGAGATCTGGACACAGGCAACTCCAAAGACAGCTGAAGGGAAACATGACCACCCTTTCTCCGGAAAACAGCCTCTCTGCGAGGCAGTCAGCCACCTTCATCCTGGTTTGTTCTTTGATTTCTTTTGAGGGAGGGTCTCACTGTGCTGCCCAGCCTGGCCTTGACTTGTGATCCCTTGGCCTCAGCATTCTGAGTGCTGGATTACAAGTGTGTGCCACCAGACCTGACTGACACATGTTCTTCATCAGTCCCAGGTGCCTCCCTCCCCAACCTCTGGTTTACACTGGGGCTCTTTGTCCCTGCTGAGTGGGAAGGCTGGACATGGAAGGTGGAGCAAGGCCAGCTGTACTCTGGTCTCACCATCAACCCAACCACAGAACAGATACCTACATCCCTTTTTACCTTATTGGGAGATCTTAGAACCCAGCATGGCTTCCTCCCCAAAGGCGTTATTCTAAATTTACTGAGTTTCTTAGAGTTGCGCAGACATTGTTGAGTTTTCTTTGGTGCTTTTGCCAACAATTTTGGTATGTTGCCACCAGGTGGCAGTAGTGCTTCTGTTACTGGGTCCCAAGCGCAGTTAATAAACAATTCCTTAGTCGACTTGAGCCATGAAAATTTTCCATGCACTATTTTTCAAAATCATAACTAATTATTATGACCTTAACCAATCTCAAGATCCATTTATCATGTGATTAATAGAATGATACATTCAAAATTCAAAATGAGCACCTGAATTTTAAATGTTATGATTTTATTGCCTGTGATCACCAAGCCTTGAATATTCTGTATTTCTTCTGTTCTTCAAACTTAGAGAAGGCCATTGATAATAATAATAATGAATAAGCTGTCATACAGCAGTTGGTGTGTACAAATGATGTTGTAAATGTTTTGTTTATAGTCATTCCTTCTCCTTCCAGCCCTCTGAGATGGGATGTGATGGGGGCTATTATCATTTGATGAGTGAGAAAATGGATCCTAGAGACTTAGCATCCTGACAATCAGGTATCCAGTCAGTGGCAGAGCTTCTCTGCAGACTCAGGATGTGGGCTGACGAGTCCTTCTCATCAACTCACAAACTCCCAAGTGTGGAGTTGATTGCCAGCATCAGGGAGAACTTGCTTCCCAAGGGCAGACCAGTGTTAAAGTTCCCTGCACCTTCTTGTGCCCCATGGCTCATGGCCCTGTAGATGAAGCATGTGTGAGTTATCAAGAAAAGGGTTTCCAGGCTAGGGAGATACCTCAGTATTAAACATGAAGACTGGAGTTCATATCCCAGAAGCCATGCGAAATGTTGGGTGGGTGTGATGTAATTCCAGCCTCAGAAGGCAGAGACAGGGGATCTCCAGACCAAGCTGACTAGATCTAGCCATATCAGTGAGCTCTAGGTTTGAGTGAGAGACCCTGACTCATTGAATAAGGTGGAAGGGCAATCAAAGATGGCTCCGGGCATCAACCTCAGGCTTCCACGGGCACTTATACACATGTGCTCACATATGTGCCAATATATACACACCACACGCGCGCACACACACACACACACACACACACACACACACACACACACACACGACAACAACAACAATAACAAAAGGGAGCTCTCAAGCCCACCTGATGTGCAGGTAGTGAAGCTGCCCCACCTGCAGTCAGTGAGGTGGCTGCAACTTTTGGTGTCAAGGGTTTTTCTACTGCCTGAAGCCTGGCTCCTCACTCAGTCTGTGAACCACAGCATCAGTCGCCCAGGAAACTACATCTCTGTAGGCTGTTCCCCAAACTTTCTGAACCAGAAGACCCTCCATGACTTGTATACAATTTTAGTTTAGAGTCCCGTGTTTATGCATTCAGGTATTAAGAGAAAGATGGGGACACCTCTGGCCAGCTGTTGGGTTCTGTCCATCGGCACATCTCTCTCCGATGTGGCACTTCAAGATCCCCTTCTCTTCAGCAGGAGGGGATGCTCACCCCACAGCCTCACTCTTAGTTGTCATTTTATAAACACTTTGCAGGCATTGTACTTACCACTCATGCACGAGTATATGGCACACAAGCGCACACACCACGCACAGGCACACACACACACACACACACACACACACACACATCTCATTTAAATATTCCTGTGGCAGGCTGCTTTACATTTTCAGGGAAGACAAAGTAGAGCACAAGAATTGTTTAATTTGTCCTTATCTTATATCTTCCCATTATCAAGGCAGCACAATCATAGAAAAACATAAAATACATGAAAAAGGAAATGCTATTTATATTTCCCCAGCTTACTCAAAGATAACCACTGTAGCTTTTTGTTTTATTTTGAGACAGGGCCCTGTGCATCCCAGGTTAGCCTCAAATTCACTGTATAGCTGAGAATAACCTTGAACTTCTGGGCCTCCTGCCTCCACAGGTGTGTGTCATCATGCCCAGTCTGTGGTGCTGGGGATCAAACCGGAGTCCTATGTGCTAGGCAAGCACTCTACCAACTGAGCTACTTCTTTATCGCCAATCACTATTGTTTATTTTCTTTAAAGTTTATGTGTATGGATGTTTTGCCTGTATGTGTGTCTGTGCACCACACATGTGCCTTGTGCCCAAGGAGGCCAGAAAAGGGAATCAGGTACCCTGGAATAGGAGTTATAGCCAGTTGTGAACTGCCATCTGGATGCTAGGGATTGAACCTGAGTCCCCTGGAAGAGCAGCCAGTGTTTTTAACTGATGAGCCATCTTCTCAGTCCTACTGTTTGTTTGTTTTATTTTGTTTTGTTGTTTTTTGAAACAGGGTTTCTGTGTGTAGCCCTGGCTGTCCTGGAACTCACTCTGTAGACCATGCTCAGCTCAAACTCACAGAGATTGGCCCACCTCTGCCTCCCAAGTGCTGGGATTAAAGGCGTGCGCCACCAGCACCTGGCTCCCACTGTTGTTTTTAATGGAGGATGTCTTCTTGGGATTTTCTTCAGTATTCTTCCTATTGTTTACTTGTTGTTGTTGAGGCAGGGTCTCACTGTATAGCTTCGTATAGCTTGGAACTCACTCTGTAGACCAGGCTGTCCTCACACTTGGAGGTTTGCCTGTCTCTGCCTCCCAGGTGCTGGATGGAATTGCAGGCATGTGCCACTCCACCCAACCTTCAGTCTCTTTTATAAGAATGCCTGTACACTCGAGTTTACGAGGTACAGTTTTTGTAATATATAACAGACACAGTATCCAAACAGTAGTGTGGAGAACACTGATGGGACTGCACTGGAGGGCCCAGCGTGTAGATGGGTACTGTCACTGCAGGACTACAGACTACGTGGAGAGGTAGCGTGTAGATGGGTACTGTCACTGCAGGGCTACAGACCACACGGAGAGGTAGCACTAGTACATAGGGAAAATGTCAAGTAACCAACTGTGTGTTCTGCTTTTTCCTGTAACATTTGTATCTTTCCAGATCATTATTCGTGCCTTGTAAACATCTATTTATATGCCTGCCAGTATTGTGCGGTGTGTATAAAACAGTTTACTTAACTATTCCCTTATTGCAGCGCATTCAGAGCGCCTACATTTTTAATTTGGGCAAGTTTTTGTGCAGTGAACATTATTGTCCACCCTGGATTTTTGTTTTCCACTTATTTTCAGCAATTTTCTCAGGATAGAGTACTCTAGCTGTGAGCCAGCAGCTGTGAGTTTCGATCCCTCCCAGAGTCCAGAGCCTAGCATTTGAAAATCACCACGAATTAGAAGGAAAGCCCAAAGCCTCTAGCGGAGGACTAATCTGTTTGTCCTTGCCAGGAGAAGAGAAAACCCCCGATTGACAAGACGGAATGGGACAGCTTCTTCGATGAGAATGGTCACTTGGCCAAGTCTAGGGACTTCATTTGTGTTAACATCCTGGAAAGGGTATGATTCCCAGGCTACCCTCAGCCTTTCCCTGGCACTAGGGGGCGGCACAGATGGCAGGGATCAGGCATGCCTTTGGGTATCTTGAGAGTTCATGACCTCCCGTGTCCAGGGTCTACACCCCTTCGTGAGGACAGAAGCCTGGAAATTCCTCACAGGCTACTACTCATGGCAGAGTTCCCGGGATGAGCGGCTCATGGTGGACAGCAACAGAAGGTAGAACTTTCCAGAACCTCTTTCTGTGGAGAGTTGTCAGGGATGTGGGGGGGGGGGGCCGGCACCCTCCCAACCTAGAAATTCGGGTTTCTTCTTCATATGGACTCCTTATTCTGAGAAGACTCTGATGCTTCCCACACAGGACCCACATGCAGTGGGTATAGCCAGGTTTAAGTTTAAGCTGGCATCTCCTCTCCAGTTCACCGACCAAGTAATCAGTTGCAGGCATGGTCTTGTCCCAAAACTCCCCTTATCGCCTTGCTCCCAACCTCATCCTTACCTGCCTAGCCTTCCTGTGAAGGACCCTAGGAATTTTCTTTCCTGGGCTTAATCCCCTTTCCTGCCAACTGTTACCCCAAAACCCCATGGCCAAACTGCCTCCTGAGGCTAGGTTCCACCTCTCTGTCCTGCCCACATCTCCTCCTGGTGCCCGCTATGGGCTGCTCATGTCCTCGGGTTAAACAGTCCCAGAGGTGTGACATTTCAGGCATCTGCTGACATTTCAAATAGCCTATTTTCTCTTAATCCTAGCTCTCCTATCCCAGCGCCCTCCATCTGACCGTTCCTGAGGGACAACCTTAGAGTTAGGGTTTCTATTGCTGTGAGGAAACACCATGCCCCACAGCAGCTTGCAGTGGGGGAGAGGGTTTGTTTCGTAGCTTACAGCTCCACATTGCAGTCCATCACTGAGGGAAGCTGGGGCAGGAACCTCGAGGCAGGAGCTGATGCAGAGGCCATGGAGGAATGCTGCTTACTGGCTTGCTCCTCATGGCTTGCTCAATCTAATTTCTTTGTGGCACCCAGGACCAGCCCAGAGGTGGCACCTCCCACAGTGAGCTGGGCCCTCCCACATCAATCATTAATCAAGAAAATTCATGACAGGCTTGCCCACAGGATTATCTGGTGGGAGCATTTTCTTAACTGAGGTTCCTTCTTCTGAAATGACTCTAGCTTATGTCAAGGTGATGTAAAACTGACCAGCACAGGGACTCCCCATCAGCTCGGCCACCCCACTCCAGCAGAGCTGCATGCTCTTTCGTACTGCCTCTGCTCTTGGTTCACTCTTTCTCCCTCCACCCACACCGGTCTCCCTATTAGCTGTCTCCCAAAACCCCACCTTTGGGCCAGTGGGATGGCTCAGGGGATAAAGGCACTTGCCACCAAGCCTGACAAACTGCGTTCAATCCCATGGTGGGTGGAGAGAAGGGACTCACTCTCACAACTTGTCCTCTGACCTCCACAAGTGTGTGATGCGCGCGCACACACACACACACTGAATGAATAAATAAATGAATGCAAAAACTCCATCCTTGCTTCAAGGCCAGGACCACACAGGGCACTTCCTCCTGATTGGAGGATCTTTGTAGGTAAGTATACACAGATTTTGAACTTGGAACAGTCTAAGTTTGAGAGTGAGTTCAATTCAAATTCTAGCATTAACATCACACTCTGAGTGAACTTGCCCACGAACTTCCCTGCTGAAGGCTCAGTCTCCTCCTCTGTCTAATGCGGTCACAATACAGTTCACAGAGTGGTTACAGAGATCTAATTATAGAAACAGGCACGTCACCATGTCCAGGGGAAGAACAGCTAGGGCTCATGTCAGTAGGGATGCTCCCACAAACTGGAGACTGTGGACTTTCGCCTCTGTGACCCTGGGATTTGGGCTTGCCTCATCTCAGGTGGAGCATACACTGGGGCAGAGTTCGAGTCCTCCCCAAATCGCCTTTCTTTAGCTCAGTGCAGGCCTCACCTGCCCATGTGAGTGCTCGAGGTGGACTGGGTCTGAATGACTCCACGGTGGATTGCTTCCTTCTTAGAGGTGTTTATCCTGGGCTACCTGACCAAGTCTTAGGGCCTGAGCAGCTGAGCTCAGCCCCAAAGCAGCTCCCAGCCGAGATGTGGAAAAGACAACCCGCACAGGGACCAGCAGAGAATAGTCTGGAACAGCAGGGATGTGAATGTCGGACTAGGTGCCAAGCCAGGGAACAGGCCTTGTGTGTGTTACACATGATTGCCGAGGCAAAAAGCCACAAGTGAGCAAAGTGCCATGAACAGGGTGGTTGACAATATCAGACATTTTTTCCCTTTGGCATTCCGGAGGCACAGGACAAGGTTGCGGCGTGCTGGCCTCCTGGGAAGGCTCTGAGAGACAGAAGTCTTTCTCCACACCTCCCACGGACGCTTCCTTGGCTTGAGGCTACATCCACTCACGTTCTGTCTCAGTGGACACAAGCCCTCCCACCTCTGTGTGTGTGTCTCTTCTATAGACGGTTGTCATTTGATTTAGGGTCCCCCTGGAAAACCCAGAACGGTCGCATTTTGCGATCCTTAATCACACTGAAAAAGACCCCGTCCACAAATAAGCCTATATTATAGGATCTAGGGGTTACTTCTAGGACACGACGACTTTAGAGACAGCCAGTCAGTTACCGCACCAGCTAATCAAATTGCAGTGGTCAGCGTAAGACCGTCTCCACTCTGCAGGTGGGGAAACTGAGGTTTAGAGAGGGAGGGTGACATCCCTCTGCAGACACTCAGTTGTTAAGCGGTGGCTCCAGGGTTTGGGTGCTACAGTTGTCGCACAGAGCCCACCCCACACTAGGTTGTCTCCACCCTGGGTGCCAGCTGCATGCTGGAGAGCACTTCCGGCTGCTCAGGCTGAGGTGGGAGAGAACAGCGCAGGCGGGGAGCAGGTGGGGACCACGTAGACAAGGCTACCCGATTTCCCCTGAGCTCAGCAGCTGCTGCTGCTCTGATTGTCCCTTCTTGGGAGGGGAAGGCCACCTTACCCAGCCCCAATGTGTTCTCTCAGGAGGAACTACAAAGCCTTGTGCCAGATGTATGAGAAAATCCAGCCCCTGCTGGAAAACTTGCATGGGAACTTCACAGAGACTAGGAACAACATCGGTGAGCAGAGGGCGAGACGGGGGAGGGCTGGGCGGAGGAGAGGGTAGATGCCATTCTGGTCTTTTCTTAGTCATTTCTAGGCACAGGTTGACTCCTGGGGCTTGGCAACTGTCTTGACTTTGGCCCGGAAAATTTTCTAGCCAGACCTAGGTCAATCCACCCACCCCTGCCCACAGGTGTTGCTAGAGGTTCCCCTGCCACATGCCATCCCTGTTGCTTTGACTTCCTCCCCCCCAAGCCATGACTTTGACGTAGACTGGATCTGAATTGGATTGGGAGGGGGCATTCCTTGACAAAAGGTATGGTCTAGTCAAAGATTTGGAGGCAAAGAGGAACCCAGACCAGCAAGGTATGGTGATGAGTGGAGCTTGGTGGGGCTGGCATGCCTTTTGTAGCCCCCCTCCCAGCTAGGATTTTTTTTAGGACCTGTCCTCTAAAGGATGGGAGATGAATTCATCCATGCTTTCTGCTCTGGAGATGATCTAATGTCACCTCCTGTCCCTTGCTCTAATCTAGCATATGACATCCAGAGACTCTATGACAAAGATCCCCTGGGCAATGTGCTTGTGGACAAGAAGAAACTGGAGAAGACCCTGCTGCTGAGTTATGTCTGCAACACGAAGGCTGGTGAGCTGAGGGTAGAGCCCCAGCCCATGCTTGCCAGCTCCTTCCTAGACCCTGGGCCAGCCAGCACCCATTGGCTTTTCCTCCCGGGAACCCTCCCCCGCAGAGTACCAGCGAGGCTTCCATGAGATGGTGATGCTCTTCCAGCTGATGGTGGGGCATGAGCATGAGACCTTCTGGCTCTTCCAGTTCTTCCTGCAGAAAACAGTGAGGACTAAGCCAAGCTCAAATCTCCTACTCCCCACCACCCAGCAAACCAAGGCACCACTGGCCTCAGTTACTTCCCTCAGCCCCCAAACATCTGTAGGTCAGGGGGTGGGTAGTAGAGGCATTAGAATTCAGAAGGACTGTTTAGAGTCCCACTCCCACCAGCCCCATGATGGTACCCTCTTAAGGCCTCTCACTCCTTACACACAAATCTCCCTGCAGATCTCTTGTGGCTTCCCAGGCCTCCAGAGTAAAACCCAGCAGCCTTTGTCAGGACTCCAGGGCTGCCTCTTTGTTCCCACCTCCCCCTGTTTCCTCCACATGACTCATAGTCCAGACACCCTGGAGGACTCAGCAGTATCCAGGGTGTACCCTACTCTGCACCCAGGATGAGGGGTTTACCGTCTGGGAAGATTTTCTTTGTCACCTTCTAGAAGCTTCCCACATCCTCTACCTCTCTTTGCACCTCTGCAAAAATATGTTTGCTGAACTTTCTTTCTTGGCTCTGACCTAATAAGTAGGGTCATGGTCACATGTGGGACATCTTTGCAGCTCCACCCCACCCCCATATGTTAAGATGCACATGAACACATGACTGCCTGAGATGTACACATATGCAAACAGGCACAGCTGCACACAGGGACCAGAGACGACAACAAAACACACACACACACACACACACACACACACACACACACACACACACATGGATAATGAACCAGGCACATCACCTCTCAGAATTGGGACTGAGAGGTGGGCTTGGTTCTGTGATGCCCTCAAGTTGAACTGAGGAGGACTATTCTCTGGTCCCATCTTGTACAGGAGCACAGCTGTGTCATCAACATCGGGGTAGGCAAGAACCTGGACATGCTTAACAGCGTGATCACTTTACTGGACCCTGAATTTGCTGAACACCTCAGTGAGTGGTCCACAGTCACTACTACTTCCCACACCAGCAGGTAGGCTTTGGAAGGGCCAAGGCCCATGGCCGACATACTCAGGCCTGGAGGAGATGACCTATGTGAAGGAGCCTGGGTCTCTGATGTTGAACATCTGCTCCAAACAGACTCCATGGCCTGTTGGGAAAGTAGCAGCCGGAATGTTCATGCTTCCTATGTCCCGCGTGATCGGTTGTGTGGCCTTGCCTGTGTGGCGGCTGACGCGCCTGCTTCTCTCCTCACAGAAGGGAAGGGCTCAGGAGCTGTGCAGTCTCTCTTCCCCTGGTTCTGCCTCTGCTTCCAGCGTGCCTTCAAATCCTTCGACGATGTCTGGAGGCTCTGGGAGGTGAGGGACATGCAGCTGGGGACACTTGGTGTGGACTGTACCTCTCCTGCGTCAGGAGGAGAAGCTACAAGTTCTCCTGCATCCCTTTCTTCCTGGCTTCAGATGGTGCTCAGTGGTCTGGGGTTTAATTAGGTCAGCAGCCCCACTCCTGCCTTGCTGTAGAGTGCTAGAGCATCTGTGCATCAGTTCTGATGCCAGACTCCACTGACCATCTACAGGGCAGTTAGCACAGGGCACCTGCTGATGTGCCGGGGCTGGCCTGCAGCTCAGCACCCTGTCCCTGCTCTCTTTTGCTGCCTTTCCTTGGCCTTCCCTTCCCCTAGAATGCCAGCTTCTCTTAGAACCTGATTTCCCCCAAGGCAGGCCCCAAGGACACCTGTAGTCTTCCAATCACAGTTCCTAGGAGATGATCCTCCTTAGGAATGAGCCCCCCACCTCTCGCTGTCCTGCCTCACCTCACGGCTGTTCCTAAACAGAAGATCCAGCCCAGCTGCAGCCTGGCATGTACCGTCCCACCATCCAGCTTCCACCTCCCTCACCTTATCATCTTGGCCCGCCATTCTACCCCCAAATCTCATATAGCAACCTTTCTCCCACCGATTGCCGAGCTCCCACTCAAATTCTAGTTTCTCTCTACCCTGTTCTGAGTGTGTAGTTGATGACAGCTTGCTACCCTCAGGGCGTCCCGGTCTCAGACCGCAGGGCTGAGGCCTGCTGGCTGCCCACAGGTCTTGCTGACGGGGAAGCCCTGCAGGAATTTCCAGGTGCTGGTGGCCTACAGCATGCTACAGATGGTGCGTGAGCAGGCACTGGTGGAGAGCATGAGTGGTGACGCCATCCTCCTGGTGAGTGCCTTCGGCCGGATCCCTTTCCAGCCTCCAGAGCCGGATGCCTGTACCCATTTCGTAGAAGAATGCAGAGACCCATGGTGTGCTAGCTTATGGCTGCTTTTGCCTCCAGAGAGGAACAAATGAGGAGTGCTGAAGTGTGAGGCTCCATGCTGATGGCCCTTAATAGACTAGCTCTAAAAGGCCCTGCGACCGTGACAGAGGCTGTGTTGGTTTGCCATCCCAGTAAGCATGTGAGGACACTGAAGGGCTAACCATTAGATTCTACTGCCTTGAAGCTAACCCTTGGCCATGTGGCAGAAGGGCCTAAGGTTTTCAGAGGTGCTTAAAGGCCAGCTGAAGCACCAAAAAAAAAAAATCTTGGGTGGTATGCCAGTTATGAACCAGGTCTTCCTTAGGAGCTTGAGACATGTCACAGAGCGCCCGGGCTTCCTAGACGCCCCGTGTGAAGGCGGTGTTTGTCATACCCACAAAGCATATGATCTGTAGGCACTGTGGTGGGTTGTGGAGACATCGAGGTGCCCCCAATAACTGCTGTGAATAGTAGCTTTCTTACCTTTGTGTTGCCTATGTCCGAAAGCACAGGAGAGGTGTTTGCTTACACACACACACACACACACACACACACACACACACATCCCAAGCACATATGTCTCTCCCCGCCCCCCAGGCCTGCAACAGCCTCATTGACCTTGATGCTGATGAGCTGATCTCTGCTGCCTGCATGGTTTATGCTGAGCTCATGCAAAAGGAGGTAAGTTGCCTAGTGATTTGCCCTCCTCCTCTCCTGTCATTTTCTTCCTCTTCCTTCTCCTCCTCTGTTCCTCTTCCTGTATTCCTCCTCCAAGAAGCCTTCCCTGGTTTCTCATGCCCGCTCTCTACCAGTCACACTTGGCTTCAGAGACAGTCTGTGCTGCGCTCCCACCCACCAGCCTACAGAAGCTGTTCTGCATTGTTTCCTCATTGCTGATATCCTCACGGGCAGTCTGATCCCTGGGCTCACAGCCTTCATCTCTCATTCACTGTGTCCTTCCCAAAGGGTCCAAGTACAAACCTGGACCCCCAGGGACTCAGGAGAATGTCACTGGCTGGATAGACTGAAGGATGAGAGCCAAATCAGATAGCGTCTGTCTCCATCACACCTTCATGACTCTCCTCACCCCCAGGTTCCTCAGCCATTAAAGGATTTCTTTCTCTGAGAACGCCAACACTCACAATGGACACATGCCCTCAATGGACTGGATGAAGGCAATTCTTCAGCCATGCGGTCAGGGTCAAGTTCAATGAGTATTGGGATGAGGGCATAGACAATACAACACATGGAAACAGTCTTTGAAGTATTGGTTTGTGGTGGTCACGAGTCTTTTTTGACCTTGCAGTGCATGATAGTTGAGGCCATATAGTAAGTGGACAGACACTGTGAGACTATGGAGAAGGCATACTGGGACAGGACGGCGTGGGACAGCCACCCTTGGTGACTGATGGGTCTTCAGAGATCCACACCTAAAAGCAAATGGGTAGGGTAGGACCAGCTTTGAAGCCTCCCAGACACTTGCCACAGACGAGAGTGAACACACATCTGGACTCAAGTTCTAAGGGGAGATGAGCTGTGGCCTTTGCATCTGTCCCCACTACCCCTTACTCTCAACATAGTTCTTCCATTCTCTCCCACACCCTAGACTTCCCACCAACTCTGGAAGAACCAACTGAAATCTCTGGCCACCAGGTTGTCCCCTCCTGGTCTCAAAGTCTTCCTCATGACTCTACCTTTACTCCACCACCTCCAAGTGTCTCCTTGATCGAAGCTGGGTTTCTCAGCCTTCCTCATCCTCTCCTGAGACTTCATTCTGCCCTTGCCCAGGAAACTATTCTCTCTTGGGGCAATTGGCTCAGGTCCCCCAGGCCATGCCATAGCCCTCAAGCTCCATGCCCAGCCTCCCAAGGCTCTGGTGAGCCATTGTGCCAGTAGGCATGGAGCAGGGGATGGACCTACAGAGGGGTTGGGGTTGGCTGGGTGCCCCAGAGCTGCACATCGACACACACACACACACACACACACACACACACACACACACACACACAGGCCCGTGTGCACGCACACACTTCCAGGCGCTACAGATTTCAGGAAGTCTGGTGGGTCCGTTGGTTTTGCTGCAGACCCTGGCCCCGGGGGTAAGGCACAACCATCTTTCCCACTCTCCAGCCAACAACCCCTCTTTCCTGTTTTCAAAATGTCATTCTCAGTGACCATCTCTCAGAAGGTATTATGCCTCTCTGTATTTTCTGGTCTTCTCTTCTCAAGGGACAGTCTCCCACCCATAGCTGACTCCGAGTCTCTTAGCTGTTGTTTTTGATGGAGGTGGAGGTGCTGAATAACGGAGCCCTGTCCCATCAACAGGGTTTTCTTTGCATAGTTAAGAAGAGAGCGTTTGCTAAGCAGTAAAGCACGTGGGTAAATTCATGTACTGTGTGTGCTCTCCTCGGTTCTGTGTTCTCAAGACAAGACAATGTAGATGAGCGTTCTTGCATGGAAAACAGTTCTCCAGGAAGGAAACCATATTTTTTTCTTGCATGGAAAACAGTTCTCCAAGAAGGAAGCCATATTTTTTATTTTCCCAAATAACCACACAGAGTAAAACATTTTCCTGACTGATCCTTGGCATCGGGGCAGCAGATGGGTACTCTTTCGTGGTCCCTTGGCTTGGTGGCGTAAGTTAGCCCATGACTTTGGGTGGAATATACACAATATTACCCAGCTCAAGAATGAAAGAAAATCTCAGCATTTCTGAGACATGACTCCCAACCTGTTCTTTTTTTATATTTACTTTTATTTTGAATTATATGTGTTTGTATGTGAGGGTCTGTGGGTGGGTATATGTATGTGAGTACAAGTGCCCGAGGGGGCCAAAAGAGGACATCAGATCTGCTGGAGCTGGAATTACCGACAGTTGTGGCCCACCCAACAGGGTGTTACACAGATCCTCTGGAAGAGCATAATGTGCTCTGAACCACTGAGCCGCCTCTCCAACCCCACAAATCTGTTTTGAAAGTCACCAGAGAGGTTTGCAAGATGGCTCAGTGGGTAGAGCACTGACCTTCAAGCCTGACGACTTGAGTTTGATCCCTGGGACTCACATGATGGAAGGGCATAACTGAACCCCAACGGCTGTCCTTGCCACATATGTGCTATGATATGGATACATTCACCACATATGCGCGTGTACACACACACACACACACGTACACGTGTGCACACGCACATGCACAAATATTTTAAATATATAAATAAAATATTTTTAAAAAAATCACTGGAGCCTCATGGTTACAGTCTTTCCCCCTTTGGCTGAAGCAGGGGTGGTGATTCCAGAGCCCGTCTTGCTACGATCCCCCTTGAATTTCACATCCTTCCTGACAGTCCTTTCAAGGATCCTCTGGCCTACTGGAGAACATGTTTGAAATCTCTGTGAGGTCTTAAAGATGAGGTGGTTTGAGCCTAGACACTGAATAATCCAGGTGCAGATAGGTCAAGCCTAAGACTGGGGGCGGGACATAGAGATCTTTGGAGTCCCCACTCTCAGCAGGCTGTGACTGAGACTTTTCTCTTTTCTTGTTCTGTATAACCTCAGCCAGGTTTCTGCTCACTGGATCAATTTTATCACCCAGTGGGCTTTTCTTAGGAAGGCCTAGTCTAGGATCAATTATATTCCCTATGGGCTTTTCCTAGGAAGGCCTAGTCTAGGCCAGAACTATGGAAAAGCCCCAGAGTCATCACACCTAAAGTCAGCATCATTAAAGGGCCTGTTTGGTATAAAAGGTTATTTCAACATATATTGAGTACTATCTTGATGTGTTCATACTTCAGTAACAAAATACCTCAGCCAAAGCTGGGTGGTTCCTGATGAACCAGTCTGCCTCCATCTTAGGCTTGAAAGGCATCTTATAGTAAAGACAAACTAGGCTCATTCCAGTTTATGATTAAATCTGTTTCTCAAGGATTGGGCAATACCCTACCTGTAAGCTTAACTACAAATGGTTCTGTACTGCCCCGTTTCAGAAACCAGCAACCATGTCTTTGTTTCAAAATGTTGTTATGACCATCTTGCAACCCTACCTTGGTTTCGAAAGGTTATCATAACCATCTGTTGTTATGACTACTTTGTTGTATTCTGTTCTATAACCCTGCCAATTTGCCTGCCAAATCCCCCACTTGAAAACACCCTACCCATGAGCTATAAAAGCCCTTATCTTCCTCATCCCAAGGCTGAACTCTCAACCCTCTTGAATAGGCGGAGGCAGCCTGTGTACATGAATAAAAAAACTGGCTTTAATTAGTTGCTTGCTTTAATTAATTTGGCCGTGATGACGTGGGTCAGTGGTCTTTCCCCCCACATCTCTGGGATTAACAGTGCCAATACAAGGTGCTGGTTGAATCCGTGTGTGGTGTGTTCTCTCTCCCTGATGGTGCTTTAGTGTCCACACAGGACAGCAAAGGGGATAAAGGCAGCTCCTTCCAAACTGTTTAGCTCTTTTTTTGTTGTTTAAGACAGTGACTCATGTAGCCCAGGTTGCCCTGAAACTCCTACATAGCTTAGGATGACCTCGAACTTTTACTTCTCCAGCTCCTGCGGCCTCAGCGCTGGGGTGACAGGTGTATGCCACCAAGCCTGCTTTGTTCAGTGCTGAGACTTAACACAGGGCCTCATGCATGCCAGGCAAGCGCTCTACAATGAGCTACATTCACAGCCCCTCTTTTCATTAGGGTGGTAACCCCACTTATAAGGGTAGAGCCTTCCTGACAACGACCCACAATCGTTCCCCCGGGGACCCACCTCCTCATGCCTCATAAGTTCCACTCTATGAATCTGAGGGGACACCAACATAGATGATAGTATTAATTGGGAGTTGTCTGCTCTCCGAGTTTCAACTGTTTAGATGAAAGACACACAAGTACTGTTCCCATGGCACTTAGAGTTGAGCGGAGTCCAGGTATCTCTACAATGACAGTCTTAAGGTTCCTTCTGGTTCACCTCAGGGTCTGCTACTCTCCCTTAACATATCTGGTCCTCCTCAGGGCAGTCCCTCACCTCAATGACTGCCCTATGTTCAATAATTAAGGACCCATAAGTGGGCTTAGATGCAAGGGGTGTGCAGGAGGGTTCATTCATCTTCTTTTTTCCTTCTCTAAGTCAGTTATTCCCTTAGTAGATTTGGGGGAAGGCCCCTAGTAGTCATAACCCATTATATCAAGTTCAGGCTCTCTAGACATTCATTCTTCAGGATGGGAGGGGAGGAGTCGGGTGGATGTTGGGAGCATGTCTGGGCTGGGGCTCTGGGGTTTCTAAGAAGTCAGTCTGCAGGAGTGAGCAGGAGAAGTCATGGGGAAATGAACACATGGAATCTGAAGGGGCAAAGCCTGGGGCCCAGGAAAAGGTGGGTGTGCATGGCTAGGTGGAGAGATGGGGAAACAGGATCCAGAGCCTGTCAGGAGAGGATTGTAGGAGCTTCAGTGTGGCGCACTGGCAGGCCCTAGAGCTTCCCTACCCCTCCACTTAGATAGCACACCCCAGGATCATTCTAGAAATAAGCATCCCAGGTTTATTTTTTCTGAACTACAACATAAAAGAATCTCTTGGAGGTGGGGATTTAATAAGTACCCAAGTCTTAAAGACCTGACCCTCACCTGCAGTGATATGCAAATGGTACCCGAACACCCACAGTGCAGTATTCAGAGGCTGGGAGCAAATAGATGCAAATATATGCAACAATTATGCAAACAAGGGCAGCCCCAGATTAATGGCCCCCATCCTTCAACCAGGCAGCAGCTGTCTCTTTAGGGATAAGTGTTCCTCACAGGGCTGAATGGACTCCTGTTAGAAGCATCCTGAGGAAGGGTCAGCTCTCAGGTCAGGAGGGGAGATTGTTTAGACACCTGGCTTGCTGATCCTCTGCTCTGAAAAGTCTGGGTGCGTCTATCACCCTGGCAGGATGTTTTTTGATGGGTCCTGGTCTGAGTCTCAGTTTAAATGCTAGACACTGTTGTGTGACACTATTCCTAGGGAGACATGAACAAACCTACTCACCCAAGAGAGGGAACTGCTGACTGCAGAAGTCTAATTGGTGTTCCTAGGGAGGCAAAAACAAATGTCTACTTACCCCAGACAAGGAACCGATGACACACTCTTGAGCTTATGATAGGACTATGCCTGGACAAGCCATTATAAACAGAAAATAACCTAACGTGAAAATGAATCTACGTTTAACATATGGACTATCACAGTTTAGGGGCGCAGTAGAAGAGGGTATGGTGCTGCCTATGGTTAGCCTTAGAAGAAACAAAAACGTAAAATTCAGCCAGGCTGTAATCTCGCCTACTTGGGCAACTGAGGCAAGAAGATTTTAAGTTCAAGGACAGCCTGGGTGACTTAGCTAGACACTGACTCAAAAAAAAAAAGAGGAGAGAGAGAAAGAAGAAAGAAAGAGAGAAAGAAAGAAAGAAAGAAAGAAAGAAAGAAAGAAAGGAAGGAAGGAAGAAAGGAAGGAAGAAAGAGAAAAAAGCTGAACATATAACTTAGTGATAAAGCACTTGCCTAGCATGAATGAAGCCCTAGGTTCAATCCTTAGTGTTTTGAAAAACAGAACAAAAGTAAAAAAGCAAAATTCAGAACTATGGTTTCAACAGCATGTGGATCACATTTGAACCACGATAAAACTGAGAAGTTCTGTATCGAATCATCTTAAGTCAAGGACCTTATAAGGTTGGGGAGAAGGAAAGACAGACCAGGGGGTGAGCCGCTCTGTGATGGCACAGGCCTCTCTAATGCCTTTCATACCTAAGACCAGCAATGCTCCACAAAATCAAATAGGAACTCATTGTTGCACAAATTCTAAAATGGTCTTATAATAAAAAAA